TCAGGGTCACACATCAGAAAACTACAGATCTGAATTTCTCTACCTTAGCTTCCAGAAGAAGTAGCAATATCTGACAGAGTTTCAGTGAAAGAATTAGCCATACTGCAACCATTTTGAAAACATTATTCATTCTGCTTTTCAATGTCCCTTGAGATCAATTCCCGTCACGTTTCCATGCCAGTTCAGTGCTTGGCTCTCTTTCAGAATTAGCACGCTCATTTTGATCACATTTCCTTTTTTCCTGACTGCTAGAAAGCTTAGAGGTACATTTAATGCTCAGTTGCAGAAGCCATCTAATATTTTATTTTTTTAAAACAAACATCGACATAGTGGCTTTTATATGCCACATATATTTTAAGTGCTTCATAAATATTAACTTCTTGAATTCACTCTATCACTGCAACAACCCTACGGGTAAGTACTACTATTACCCTCCCTTTTCTGAATAAGAAACTGAGGTCCTTTTTAAAATTTCCATTAATTATTCCCTCTTTCATCATCCTTATTTTATGAAGTAAGCCCCTTCAGATTCTGTCTGGAAGTTGATGGGGTAGAAGTATTGTATTACACACTTGGCCACTACAGCCACAGCTCCAACTACTTCTTCCAGGCACCTGCCCTGAGCCCACCTCATGCCCACGCCTCAAACCTCTCACCTCCCATCCTGGGCTTGCCTGGCAACCCCAAGATGTGGGACACCGAGAACTTTGCTTCAAGCCCAGAACTGCACAACCCAGAATTGCAGAGATATTAAAATGTTGCCAAATGGGAGATGGAAAGTAGATAAATCCATTCTTTTTTTAACACTCTAGACAGTCTGTCCTAAGGTGCAGTTTTTCAGAGCATCACTGTAAGATAGAACCATCAGTAGCACTTAGCGGCCCCACTCAGTATGCCTGCTCAAATTTCTCTCCCTGCTCCCAGGCCTCGGTCCAGCAGCGTCTCTTGGTTTCTGCACCTTGGGACTGCACCCCCTAACAAGGCAGCCGCCACAGAGCACTGGCAGCTCCTCTCTGAGGAATCCATCCAGATTAAGACAATTATAAATGATTATAAATAAAATCACACTGAATGGAAGTGTACCTAGTTATTTCCATGAATTTCAGAATCAGTACTAGTAACTGAGATTCAATCAAATGCAATTCTGAAACGTTATTCCTAGCAGGACTTTAAGGGTCAACCCATCATCTTTACAGCTGAGAATGCTAAGACCCAGGAAAGGAAGGGGATTGCTGAAGATCACAGGCCCTGTTGGTGGCCTTCAAATAGAGTACAAACTTTTAATGCCTATAATGTCGAATTTCTATATACATTATTTTACTGTGTGCCTGCAAATTAAGTTATTAGCATTATTGCCCCTATTTTATGCATAAGAAACACAGGCTCAGAAAACATGAAGTGAAATGTTCAAGGTCACAACCTTGGCGATGGAAGCACCAGGTTTACACCAGGCCTCCAGACTCCACTTACCTGCTTCTTTCTCCAGCTGCCTCCTGGGGGTCGGGAAGTGGGCCTTGGCCGTCTGGGAAGCCAGGTGGAAAAGCAACATGAACTTAGAGCGAGACAGGCTTGAATTCAAGCCCTAGTCCTGTGACTTAATAGATTTGTCACTTCAAGGTACTTAATTTCTCTGAGCCTCAAGTTTTTAATTCCAAGAATGGGGATCATAAAATCTACTCACAGTGTGGCTGTGAAGAGAAAATGAGAATAATATACGTAAATCTCCCACCACACTGTCTACACACAGTAGGTGCTTAATAAGTGTTAGCCAGCAACAGTTCTCTGGAATCAAAGATGCCTTCCAAAAACAGTATTGCCTTCACTTTCACAGGTGCTTGCTAAGTGCCAGGCCTGGTGCTGAGCATTTTCTGGAGAAGAAGGAACTTCTTCTCAGCATCTGAACCTCACTAAGGGAGGGAAGATGAAGGGGAATGTTCACTACCTCCTGTTAATCTCTTGCCTGCGCCAACAATAATTCATAAACTTTAGTCGTTTATGTACTCCCATGCTGAACTTTGCCATATCTGTGGAGCAGTTTTAAAATTGAAATTTATAGTTTTGTTCTAAGCAAGAATACTCTGAAGGGTTAGGTTTGATGTGCTAGTTATATGTTTTCATATATACTTTAAAACATACACATTCATCATTAAAATTAAAAAGTGTTATTATTTAAAATGCTCCAGGAAAAAATATATGATAACACATGATTGGAAAATAATCCAGGAAAAAAGCAGATAGAATACAATTGGCATAATGTTGACCATTGTTGAAACTAGATGATGAGTACATGGTGCTATACTATTTTCTAATTTTATGTATCTTTGAAATTTACATAACAAAATAGTGTAAAAAATAAAATAAAACACACTTATCAAACCCAGAGGTAGGGGATGAGAACGTTCTCTGGCAGAGATCTAAAAATCATCTCACATTCCCCAGAGGATTATTTGGGTAACACTGGCCCATAATGCCCACTAGAAGGTCACCATCAGGAGAACACACACTCAGGCTTCATTCTTTCTCATGGGCTCTGTCTCCTGTGCTTAGAATAACTAGCCACATAGATAAATGCCCATTGAAAGTTTGCTGAATCAATGAATGAATAATTATCTCACCTGCTATCCTACTAGTGGCTCTTAGCTCTGTCTCCTTGGATGCCCTAAACTTCTAACTCTCCCTTAGGGAGTGGGCAATAAATTAACTTGAACATTTTTACCTCAGAATAATTAGTAATATAAAACTAGGCCTAAGTTGAGGAGCCCCTGCTGTTTTTTTGTTTGTTTGTTTGTTTTACTACTCTGCCATTTGACTTCCGTTACTGTAAAGAAATACCTAGAAAATTTCAGTAAACTTTTGGGTTGGCATTAGACTTTTTTTTTCTTCTAAATGACGTAAAATATATTGGATGATATTACTTGGCTACTGGGTATGCTTGTTGTCAAAGAATCTTATCAGATGCTATGAAAAACAAGTCTCATAATCATTTGTCTCAAACAGCTTATTTGACCTCCGTCTGGAAAAAGAGGAAAGGGCCAGGTGGTCTCAGGGGCCAGAATCCCTCAGTGTGCTTAAGGCTGACACGTGCCAGGAGGCCAGCACGGAGGGTGCCTGCTCTGAGCACTCTGGAGCCCGTCCTCTCCCACTCACACCTGGAGCCAGGTGAATGCTACCCACGCTCTGCTGATACTCTCTCTGGGGTATTCTGAGGTCAGAATCTGGTACCAAATTAGATATCTCAAGTAAAGGTTGAGTGTACTAGATGTCTAAATCTACCCCAGACAGAAAGGCCTTGGTGGGATCCCTTTATGTGTATACAATTAGTTATCCCAAAAGACAGTAATTGTGTGCTGCTTTATTATGCAAATCAATGAGTATTATAAAAAATACTGTTTCAAATTATAACATCATTTTTCCCCCTTTGCTGGAGGATGTAGGCCAAATTACTACTAAATATCCATCCACCTTTTGAATCTTCTTAGGTATTCATTGTTTCGGATACAGAAACAATGAGAGAGATTATATCACTATTTAAAGTCCAAAACTAGCAGACCCAATAAAAACCAAGTCTGAGAAACTAGAACCACAGTGCTACTCTGCTGCCACAAAACACAACACAGAAATTAGGTTTCTGCTCCCAAAATCTTTATTCTGCAAATAGCTTTCTCTGTTGTTCATAGAACGAGAACAACCCATCAGATTATTTTTATGGATCTTTTTTAGAAACAAAGTGGCTCAAGAATGGAAGAGAATGAAGTGGATGCAGGGTTGGTGGCCCAGCAGCCTCTACTTAGCACTGTGTGATGCATGGCCTGCTGCTGTATTAAGCCAGTGCAATTGGACTCCCCAAGACAATGCTTTTTCACAGTTTGTGGAAAAACAAAACCTAAAACCTTTTTCCAAGGAAGTGATTGAAGCCTGTACTTATCAATTTAAGAATTTTACATGGAAATAAAATGCAAATGGTCCAAAAACAAATGAAAAGATGCTCAATCTCTCATATTGGAGAAATTAAATTGAAATAGTACTTTCTTACCTCTCTGTTGGTTTGTTGAAATAGCCTCCTAACAACTCCCTCTGCTTCCATTCTTGCAGACAAGCAATCTTTTAAAAACAGAAATCAAGTCATGTCTTTCCACTGCTTGAAACTTGCTTTCCCAGTTCATTTAATAGGTATATTTAAGCATAAGTTACATCACACTTTAACACAAATTGAACATAAATTACATCATTCTGCAACTTTTTGCAATTATAATGTCTTAGAAATCTTTTCACGTTAGCACATAGAAATCTGCCTCTGTCTTTTTAGCTGCTGCATAATATTCCAAAGTATGGCTAAGATTCGTTTGGTCATTCTCTTATTAGTGAATGTTTAGGTTGTTAACAATTTTTCACTGTTATAAATAAGGCTGAAGTGAACATTCTACATGTGACTTCGTGTTGGAAAGTGTTTGTCTAAGGAAAATACTAAGAAGTAATTAAAAAAAAAAATTAATAGCACTGCCAAGTTGCCTTCTAAACTAGCAGTAGGGACACCCCAGCAGTAGAAACCTATATACCCATACCTCTGCCGATGTTTGCTTCTAGATGCTCTGGACCGTTTCACTGTCCATTCTTATGGCTCATACCACTCTCTAATTCTGGAAAATTCTTGTCTATTTTTCAATTATTTCTAGAAATATTGTTTCCCTCCATCTTCTTCATTTTCTACTTGTGATGGTGGAACTTTTGAATCTACACTTTGTGTTTCTTAACTTTTCTTTCCTACTTGCCATCTCTTCAGCTCTTTATACGGCATCGTGGGAGAATTCCTTGGCTCAATTTTCAACTCATGAACTGGCTCTTCGGTAGTGTCCATTTTAAAAATCAATTTCCACCGCGTGTTGCACTCTCCTGGCGCGAGGCCCAGGGCGCGCGGCCGGGCCCCTGACCGGGAACCCGGAGACGTGAACGCACAGGCCGAGGCCCAGCGGTCCGCACAGCCGGGGCCTCGCTGGGCAGCCATGGGCGCGGCCGGGCGACTCCTGAGCTCCGTGATCATGGTCTCCCCGGGCTCAGGCAAGCACACCCTGTCATTGCGCATCATCAAACACTTCGAGCTCAAGAAGCTCTCCAGTGGGACCTGCTCCGAGACAACATGATAAGGAACACAGAAACTGGTATACTGGCCAAGACGTTCATGGACCAGGGGAAGCTGGTGCCGGACAGCATCATGATTCGGCTGGCCCATCACGGGCTGAAGGATCTCACTCAGCAGAGCTGGCTGTTGAGTGGCTTCCCCAGGACTCCCCCACAAGCCCAAGCCCTGGACAGAGTGCGTCAGACACAGATGGTGAGGAACCTGAACGTGCCCTTTGAGGTCATCATGCAACGCCTCGCTGCTCGCTGGCTTCACCCAGCCAGTGGCCGCGTCTACAACCTTGAATTCAACCCTCCCAAAGTGGTCGGCCTGGATGATCTGACTGGAGAGCCTCTCGTTAAGCGTGAGGATGGTAGACCAGAGACGCTTATCAAGAGACTGAAGGCTTACAAAGACCAGACAAAACCGGTCCTGGAATATTACCACAAAAAGGGGGTGTTGGAAATGTTCTCCAGAACAGAAACCAGTAAGCTCTGGCCCTATATACATGCTTGCCTGCAAACGAAATGTCCCACAAATACACCAGAAGCATCAATTACTCCAGGAGGAAATATACTTGTAATTAGCAAGATGAGACTCTCTACCTTCTTCCATTTAGAAGTCCTTCATTCTAAGATTCCACCGTATATGAATTATTTGAAAATTATATTAATTTCATTTCTGCAGATTGTATTCTGGGTAGTAGAGATAATGCCACATGGGTCAGATACTAAGATTCACCTTTTGAAATTGTCTGGTGTATTTCATCCAGCTATCTTCTGTGTATAATTCAAAAACATCAGAGATATCTAGACTTTAAAAAATTCTTTTAGAGCAAAATAAAAGAGCGGTTGGCAGTATTCTAACTTTGTTCAGTAAGAATAAATGTTTCATAAGGTTTCCATATTTTTCTGGGGAAAAAAATTATACTAATTTGGACAAAGTGTCTTATCAGAGGCTTTTGCATAGCCAGATTGAAAAAAAAAAAAAAAATTCTAGCACATGGGACATGGTTTTGTGAGATGCTATAACTATAAGATTCCAAATAAAAGTAACTGGAATTGCAGATCCATTGCAGGATGCAAATTTACTGTTGCCTTTAAACGAAGAAACCTACAGGGTGAGCTTATAAGCTATATTTATTGTGTTGTTAAACATAACTTCAATTTACTCTGAATTTTCAATTTGCTATAAAATGTATCGAATCGTATTTTGAAAAATATTACTTTGATATGACTTGTTTTATTTTGAAAATACGTGTACACTGGGGATATAGCATGTTAAAAATTGATGTACACGTTCTTGGTTAAGCACCGAGGCTGAATAAATTTTCTTTAATAGAAAATGTAATTGAAGTCTTATGTTCTCAGGTGTTACTCAGATTAAGAAATGTTTGCTTTAGGATCGGCTTGCCAGTTCTCTTTTTTAATGATCCAATGTACGATATGCCTTGATGAGTAACAAATTAAAGTATTTTAAAAAGAAGAATGAATAAAAGAAAACTTGGGACACTACGTGGAATACTCATACTTTGAAAAGAAATAGATTAGGTATGCCTAGGGGGAAATTTCCTTGACAAAAAAACAGTCATAACTAGTAAACAGATGTAGCAATAAAAGGCTTTTATATGACAGGTTAAACAGGACCAGGAAAGTAAATGAGTTTGCTGAAGGTGGAGTTCTCTATTCCTGATCAAAAGAAGTTGATACTTGCTTGTGTTCACTGACATCGATCTTAAGGAGAAAAAATCCTGCCAGTGCACATAATTGAAACACTTATTTTAAAATCATTATTTCAGATTCCTTAGTGGGGTTAGGAGGAAGCATGCTTATGTACTGTGGTCTGTTAGGGGGAGTGGGGCAATATAAGAGGTGGAGGAGAAACCTGACTAGATCTTAAGTGGCATATTTACTCTCATTGGTGCTAAATCAAATAAAATAAGCCCTTGCACAAACTATTATTAACTGCCTTTGCAAATTTGGCCCATTTTATTTCACACACTTAGAACACAAATACCACTAAGTATTTTTTTTAAATATATATTTTGGGGGAAAACTTATTTTCCTTTCTTTCAATTTTATTTTTCATTCACTGACAATTTTTCAAAATAGACCAAGTCTTTTTAAAAGAATACAAAAAAAATTCCATTCTTCAAAATACTTTCTATAACCTATTTAAATATTATTATGTACTTTTCAAAAAGTGAACTACTAAACTTATGAGCTATCACTAGGCACTAGTTTATAAGGCATACAATTAGTCTTTATTATATTAAATATCAGAAAAAAGTATCAATTTTATCTGCACATTCAACTTATTGTAAGAATTGAATTTTAATCACCATGACCTCTAGTTGATTTGTTTGTGACTGCTATATCCTCTCACAAGTAAATGTATCAGAAACATTTACTTACCCTAGTCTTAATACCTGCTTTGCTTGCTCTATTATTTATCTTCATTGGGTAGTCATTCATGCAATTTGTTGAGTTTTTCATCTTTTGTAATGTTGGTCTTCCTCAAATGTGTGGTGATCTCAACTCTATAAGCTTCTATATGGTTGAGGTTCTTATTAGGCTGCATTCTCTGTCAGTGACAGTCGTGTGCTTTGGGATATTGCTGGTTTGAATTGTCCTCTGGCCTATTCTCAGTGTCATTGAAGAAGGATATGTCACTGAATGAGATTTCTCTGAGGTGTTCAGTTCTGGTACCCCATTCCTCTGGCAATGGCCAGCCTCATGACACATGGCCGTGCCTGTCTAATTTGGGGTCCCTGGCCACGAGTCCTACCTGGAGGCTGACCCTGTGACTGCTGTTTGGCTCAAGGGTAGATGAAAAGACATCAGTGGTAGATTAATCTCTGGCCCCTCCTGCAGCAGTGCCCAAGGACCTACATGTCAACAGTCCTTGATATTCTCATGCTTCTGGTATTTGTCACCTTTGGGGATAGAGTAGTCTTGGTGTTCCTTCCACCTTTGTGGCAATAGTCTTCTGTGTACAGTATTTTTTAACATTTTATTTTTTATGTTAATCCTTCCCTGAGGATATTTGTCCAGAGTGAAAGAAAAGGAGAGAGAGATAAATATTGACGTAGTTGCCTCCAGCATGACCCTGACCAGGCTTGTGATCGAGCCTGCAATCTAGGTATGTGCCCTTAACTAGGAGTCAAAGTTGAAACCCTTTGGTCCGAGGGATGACACACTATCTGCTGAGCCAAACTAGCCAGGGCTTCTGTGTATGTTTTGGAATGGCTTTTCTGGTTTTTGCATCAATCCAATCTACATCCAATACCTTAGGATTTATCCAGGTTTCTGATTCACTGAAGTGTCACTTCTAATTTAGGGTCATCAGTTGAGGCCCTTGCTGCAGGAATGAAGAAGCTGTAGTATATGCCTAATCCACCATCCTGAAATGAAACCAGATCTCCTTGTCCTCTCTCAAAATACAAAGTCATCAGACCTCTTAGAGCTTTGGCTTTTAATTCTGGCTGCACAGTAGAACCATCTAGGGGAACTTTAAGATAGAATGCGGATACTCCGGACATTTTGATTTAGTTATCAGGGGTGGGGGCTATCCTTATTGCTATGTTTGTTGTATTATAAAAGCTCCCCAGCTTTTACAAACCACTATCAGATTGCGTCTGAGAGGGCCAGCCTTCAAAACAGGGTTCAGCAGAAGCTCAGAACCACCTGGCAGTCTCACCAGCTGGAACTTTCATCACAAAGGGCCCTGACCTTCTTGTCACCTTTTTTCTCCCACACATAAATATTTAAGCAATGGATAGTTTACCATTATTTTATCATTTGTCATCACCATGTTTAACTAACAATTCTCATTTGATCTGTGTCGCTCACCAAATGCCACATCAAATGTCATTCTGGTGACTGATTTTTGGAAGCTTGTTTAAACACCTTTCCTTGTGTGACTGGTTGTTCAAATTCTCTGGCATCTCTATTGCATTTAAATTCAGCTAAAGATGCTCATTTCAAGTGTGGTGGCTGAGAAACCAACTTGCAATAAGATCATGATATATTTGCTTTATGTTTTCTAGTCTTCAATAGCTTTGGTTTGGTCCTAATTAACAATCTGAAATAGGCCAGTTAAATGGACTTTGGAGATGATTTGACCCACAACACAGTGCATTTCTCTTTAAAAACAGCTTACATTTTATATTAGTAACTTACTTAAGCTGAAATGGGAACATGTTTATGTGTAATTGTGAGATGTCTTTATTCTACAATTAGGCCTACAATCTAGGTTCAGGCCTATGGTCTTGTGAGGTCTTTGCTTACTTTGGGTAGTTGACCATCTAGACAACCTTATAGCAGTGCCTTCCCCAGCAAGGGGTAGGGAAACACTGGGTAAGCAGAATGAATATTGAGTTTGAATAGAGTGGAGGTGAGGAGTCAGAATTAGAAAGAAGATTGGGGAGGTATGTGAGAGGACTTTGAATATCATGACATGATGGCACCACCCACTCCTCAGCAAGCTTTGAAAATTGTTGTAATGTCTGGAGACTGGAAGAAATATTCAAAATTGGTGGTGGTGGTGGTGGTGGTAAAGGACTCCAAATAGGCAGGATGATCTACAGGTAACCATAATGGTGTGTCAGATGAAAAGGACATCAGGCCATGTCAATACAGAATTTAGCTACTGTCAAACTGTAAGGCTTTGGGAATTTATCAGATATCCCACTGAGCCAGTGTTGGCAGACGCCCGCCCAATTGTAATTTTATGAAGAAGTCATGAAGTAGAAGAAATGAGGAGGATGTAAGGTTAGATGCTGAGTAGATTAACTCTTCAACAAGAATAGGTTGAATAATTATTGGAGGGGTGGGATTTGAGAGCAAAATAAATTAGAGGAAAATCTTTAGAACTAAGAAAGAAATTAGAAAATATTAGCAAGAGAAGTGATGGAATTGTGATAGGAGAAAAAGGAACAGGTCTACACTCAGAGGGAACATGCTCTAGTTCTGCCTTCTTAATGCTTTATTTCTCCTTATTAAAAAGAAAAATATTCCTACTACATTCCTTGAGCACTGGGACCTTGATAAGAACCAATAAAGAGGCCCACATAAATTACTTTGAAGCAAATGAAGTCTTATTGGGGTTTTTATCTAGCAAAAATAGTATCTATTTCCTGGAGTCATCACTATTTGGAATGAACATTTCATGGGACTGTAACAGGTGGAAACAGTGCATAGACTAGGTCTCCAAATGGAATCATTTCAGAAATGATTTGAGAAGCAGTGAAAATCTGTAGCAAGATTAACAATCCTAGAATCTTCCTTTTCTTAGTCTCCATGATAATGCTCTCAAAAGTTAGAAAATTTAAGCAACAAAGCAATCAGAATTTATTTTTATATTTATATGGAGCTTGAGCTCAGTGTTAGCCTTTGCAAGTGACAACAGGGTAAGATTCAGGCTATAACAACTGTAGTCTGACAGCAAAGTTTTCAATTAAATTGTAGTTTGTCTGGAAATAGCCCAAATGACCATCGGTAGATGAATGGATAAAAGCTGTGGTACGTATACACTATGGAGTACTATGCAGCTGTAAGAAATAAAGATCTCTTATCCTTTGAGACGACATGGAGGGACCTGGACAGTATTATCCTAAGCGAAACAAGCCAAACAGAAAGACAAGTATCACATGATCTTACTTTTCTGTGGAATATAATGAACATAACAGTCTGAGGAATGGGGTAGTCCCAGAGTCGTGGAAGTGGGGTACAGATTAACAGTCCCCAGAATAGGGGGTGCGCACAGAACTTATATGCATGTATGCATGAACAATGGACATGGACAACAAAGCTGGGGACAGGGCGGGAAGGGAGGGGGAGGGGGGAGCCAGTGTGGGGGAAAGAGAAACATCTATAACAAAAATAAATTAATTAATTTAAAAAATAAATAATAAAATAAAATTATAAAAATTAAAAATAAATAAATAAATAAATTGTAGTTTGTTAGTAGCTCTCTTGTCACTTAAAATGTCCTCATAAATAAAGTAAACAGCAATCCTCAGATTAAACTCTTACCAGGAAACTGTAGTGACTAGTCAGTCCCAAAGAGATCACAAGTGCTGGCCAGTGCTGCTTCTGCATCTGTGGGCACCAAAGCAGAGGAAATGCAAGTTCTCAAAACAAATCCCTGACCAAAAAATAAAGCAGCAACCCATAACAATCTGAGTCCCTTTTAGAGACACTGTCCTTCTATTTGCATGGCTTTATGCTTCTGGTCTCCTGTTGCATATGCTGTTTGCTATTTTCTTTGCCTTAGCAGAGCTTGCCTTAAACCATGATATGTGGTTTCAAGAAAGTAAAAAAATCCACTCATTGCCCACAGGCCCTTTCTCTTCTGATTGTAGTCACTAAAGGGGGGGTAGGGGAGACATTTTTCTATTTCACAATTAACAATAATCTTAGAATCATCTCAGAAGACTCAACAGAGTGGCTAATACTCATTCTAGGCTACAAACGAGGGATATAGAGGGCAGAGAGGGTGATGACTGCCTGTAGCATGGATGGTGGTGAGATGAGATGTGTGAGAGCCGGGAGGGAGGTCAAGAGAATGGTACAGAAAGGGGGGCACAGATCTGCGTAGGGCAAGGTGAGGTGTTAGCAAGTATTTCTTAGTCCAGCAAACCTTCCTCCTTGCCCACTGCAGAGCAATCTCCAAAAGTTTTCTCTGACACACAGGTACTTGCCACAGGCAGTCCTTGGAGACTGCTCAGCATTTGTCGCACTGCAATACTTTCAACAACTGCTCCTTGCACGGCTGCAGCTGCCTCCAAGAAAGGGTGTTCATTCTGGGCTCCGATGCATTCCAGCTGTGGCTCGCCTAAAGCTGTTTGTCAACACGTGGCCTTTTCAAGCCAGAAGCCTTTCATCATGTGCTACAGATGTTTGCTAATAGTCATGTGATCACCTTTTCAATGATCTAAGGCTAAACAGCCAGCATTACGGGTCCCAGGTAGATTTAGAACTTAGCCATTGGTCCTACAGTCTGCATGAACTATGGGATGAACAGTCACAGGAACAGCATAATAACATGTTCACACAAGTGTATGTGATGGTGGTGAGGGGGGTGCTTCATCAGCAAATACATGTTCTAAAACTGTAAAACTCCCAAACATGCCTCAGTCTTGAGCTGCATTAGTCTTGAGCTTATGCATTGTTAGGTAACACGCTCTGTGCAGTTTATTGGGGAAGCCCAGCCACAAGTATGGGCCTGCTTAATGTTAGACATCTGGTCAGATCTACTTGTTCCCACTTCCCTAAAGACAGCGTGCAGCTGCATGTGCGGATCTCCAAGGCTGAGCCGAACCAGTCAGCTCAATGGGTTTGTGTGCTCAGTCTGACCCTTACAAAAGCCAAACAGAGCCTCACTGAGACTCTGGATGAGGGGTCACAGTCTCCCTGGGAATAAATTTGATGAATTGCTATTATGTGTGGATTGTCCTGCCCACACTCACCAACTATTTTAGATAGCACATGACTCTGACTCACAGAAAAGAGCAAAGAACTGCACCACGGCTCGAAAACATGCTGCTCACCCACTCCCTTGGGCGAGAGCCAGAAAACACTCAGGTCTCTGTGTACTGACAGTGAGGACCCTCGCCTCTTTCTCTTTCTCTCTCTCTATCCATAAACAGACCCAGTAAGCAAGGTCACCAACATTCGGCAAAAAAACAAGCAAACATTTAAAAAGATCTCCTAAATATACAAGTTGACAACTTGAGTAAGAATGTGGGGGCCAAAGAAAAAAAAAGTAAAGGCATTTTACAGCTTGATGTCTTCTATGATCTAGTTAGCTATGCCCCGAGGCTGTGGGTGGGAAGAAGCTCAAAAGAGTCCACATCAACAGGTGTTCTGAGGCCACCAGGATGTGCATGCAGGGTCTGTTGAAAGGGACCAATGGCTCAAGCTAATGTCATGGAAATGAAGCCACCCAGTCGAGTTTCCTTCCTCATGGCCTCTTGCCTTTGCTAGGTTAATTCTCAGAGGTGGTTTGGTTAGAGCTCCTTGGCTCTCAGGTCTGCAGCGCTGCTCAAATTTGCTCAAAGAAACTGTGTATTGTGTGGGGGCAGCAGAGAGAAGAGGGAGAGCTCATTCTAGGTATGAAAAGTCTTGGGAATTCAGGAATTGCTGACGCCGAATCTCAGCAGGGGCAGGAACTGGGACCCTTCAGAATCCCTGTTGAGGTGAGCTCCTTCCTAGTGCAGGGTTCTCAGGTGCCACTGCCTGTGGGGGCTCACACACACGAAACAGTGGGTCCAAAGTGGAAACGCGCACGTGTCCCTCAGGCTTAGGGTCTGGGGAGCAAAACGGAGTAGTGGGCACTCTGGGCCACTGATGTAAAACAGAATTCTTTATTCATCTTGTCTCCTGTAAGTTTGCTGAAAGTTCTTCAATTACTTTAAGCAGAACCCCACAGGCAGCAGGTGAATCTAGAGTGTTCCATTACTACTCCTGAATGGACATGCACAGGAACGTAAGTGCAGGTGAACTCCAGTGGTCTTTGTTTTTTTTTTTTTTTGGTACGTGCCCCTAGTGGGAACCGAACCTGGGACTCTCTGGTCTGCAGGTCAATGCTCCAACCGCTGAGCCAAACCGACCAGGGCTCCAGTGGTCTTTGAATGCATGTTTTAAAAGTCCGATAAGTCCTGAACACACCTCAAGTCTGGCCTCTATGCTATCACCATGTTCATTCTTAGGTAGTCACAATTTCCATGCAATTTGCTCTGGAAGCTCATCCATTTTAAAATGTGAAATATTCCAGTGTTTAAGTGTTGGCAATCATTTCAAATTTAATCACCTATAAGCCAGACGAAACATGCTGTGAATCAGATATGTCCTGTGGGTGGCTGGTTTGCAGAAACTGGTACCCTGACGCCTCAGCGTACATTCCACAGATCTGTTCCCTTGCGTTTCCCAACCACACTGGCAAATTCTGTGTCCCTGGGTTCAGAATCCCCCAAGAGTAATTTAATTGGTTTCTGGCTTAGCGAGGGGCCATTCCTGATCTACTCACACAGAAGCTGTAGGTGTGGCAGATAAATGGAGTAACTGTTGTTGACATTTCCAGAGTTGGTTTCCTCCTTGGGGCGCGTTCCTGAACTGAGAAGGGTGCAGAGGATTTGTCTTACCTGAACTCTCTGAACCTTCCTCAATAAAAGAAACTGGCAGTGATCAGATGCCCTGTGAAAATGTCCTAGCATGCTTAGAGGTGACAATACAACTCTGACAGGGACTGTAGCTGGTGCCTTCCCCGCCGATTACTTCTCAGTCATTTTCTAGAACAGAGATGACTATGGGCCATCACCCCAGCTTTTCCCTCGACCAAAATCAACCCCTTCTCTGTTTTCTTCACATTTCTAAACTATATTACTCGTCTTTACTAATGTTTGCTTGGATATAGGTCTATACCGGATGACCTTGCCTACAGGAAAAGTTTCAGAATATGTTCTCCCCATTAAGAAAGAGAATTGGCAAGTGTCAGTTTCTGAGGTGAGCTACTTGTCGTCACATAGACCTTATTTTCAAAAATGGTAAAAAGGGGCTGGCGATGATGTA